ATAAAGTATTTATATAATTACTTTATAGTTACTTTAAAGTAGTTCTAAAGTTGCTAAATTGGCTGTTTCTGTAAAGTTAATATATGTGTAAAAACATAATATATATATATTTAGAAAAAGAAATAAAAAAATCTTTAAAAAATAAACCTATTTTTTTAAAAAAAATTCTTTTAAAAAAAAACTTTTTTAAAAAATTGGTTTTAAAAAAAAATTTTTTTCATTAAAAAAAACTAGTCTTTTTGAAATTTAATTCCATGCTCCAACCACGAACCAGTACACATAAGAGCTTGTACGCTTTTTTCAGAAAGACGTGCACATCTGGCCTGAACAGTATCACCTGCCTTTGAAAATATTTATTCAGAAGGTACTGAAGTGGCCTGGATCGCAAGAAAGTCTTTGGCTATTTGAGACATACCAGAAAAATGGAAGCTGTTAAGTTTTCACCACTCCAAGGTACTAATACTCATTGGTAAGGTGGCTTCGTTCAAATATTGAATAACCTTATCCATTGTATTAAAAGCATTAACCCGTTGTCACTTTTGAGCTACTTGTTTTGCATATGTTGTCATAGTTAATACATTTTTGATAGCTAAATTTATAGATAAATTATTTGACGAATACTTCTGAAAAATTTAATTAAAAAAATTTTGATTTTCTAGAGTATTCATATCAACTGGAATTAATTCTAGTTTGATTCGAGGATCGAGAATTGAAGCTATAAAAACTGCTTTATTATATATATAAGCCATATATTGTTTGACCTTTTCTGACATTTGGGTTGCAGTGGTTTTTAGAAATAGGGGCTGAATGGATCTTGAATACATGATGTAACATCAGCAAAAAATATAGGCTGATATATATCAATCAATATCTATGCGGATATATATCGATAATAATCCTCTCTGTTAGATTTTATCGATTGTAATATTAATCAATATATAGCTGTTTTAACAAAAAATTGCTAAAAATCGATTATATTAAAACCTGATTTATATTGATATATATCCAATTATTGTTATATTACTCATTTATAGCAAAAGTCGCATTAACACTAGCCTTTAAAATGTTTGAAGCAATAATTAAATTTATTTAAAAAATGGTTTGTAACATGTAATTATTCGATATACAACGCAAATTTATTAAACAATGAAAGAAAAAAAAAATACAATACAAGAAAAAAAAATACAATACAAGAAAAAAAAAATATAATGCAAGAAAAAAAAAATACAAAGAAAAAAACAAAAAAAAGAAAAAAAAATACAAAGAAAAAAACAAAAAAAAAACAAAAAAAAGAAAAAAAAAACAATATACAAAAATATACATTATATGAAACTAATGCTATGAAGTGAATCTAAACAATTCATCAACTTCTTGAAACATTGACAGGCTGTGTCAAACAGAAGATTCACGTTCAGGTTTAGAATGAGGTGATGCTTCTCTTGATAGTTTGTTATGTATATTTTTGTTATTTAATATGTTATCGGCTGATTCATGGGAAGGACCACCACTGTTTTCAAAATCATTCTAATCAAATATATTAAACATTAATATTTGTTATCTATAAAAACAAAACATACAATTACTTACCAAATATTGGTCAATTCGAT